AGATCATCCAGACTTAAGTAAACCAACATAATTCTTGAGGATTTTGGCTCTGAAAGCAGATGGTGTCCGTGAAAACAAAACAAAAAACTCCAGGGGTACTTGCTGGAATCATCAGCTCCTGCCGCTCTGTGTCATGAATATGCAGCTGGAGAACGGGTTGGAACAGCAGGGCCACCCCCCCCCCGAGTCAAACCCAGATAAGGAAGGTATGAGGTGTGGGTACCTCTCCAGTACAGTAGCTCCAAGGAACAATAATAGGTTCTGCTTGTAATTATATAGCAGGAACTAGCTGCCAGATAACCATTGACTCACATCTGTATTTGTAAATGTTACTGGCAACATGTACAGCAGTGCTCCTGGGTTATATTCCCAAGGCGGCGCACAGGAGAAGATCCTGACTATGCAATAAAACATACCACATTCCAGACTGTGTTGCCCCATGCTCCCTCCTCAGTCCTTGTGTCTGAGTAAACCTTTATAGAGGAAACACAGCTGCCCTCGTAGTTAGGACGCCCCACATTGGAAGAAACACTCATCTTGATGATGAGTCATGTCTTCTAGGACAGAAGAAGAGTCAGAAATACTTGGAATTCTCAAACAGTGACAAAAATCTCGCACTGTAAAAATCAAAGATGAGTCAAGATATAGACTCTGTATTGGAAACAAGGGAAATGACGTCAGACCAACGGGGAGATTTTGCACTTGAGAGGTAAAAAAAAACAGATGTCACGACTGGTCAAAGAGGTCGTTTTTGACATTGTAGGAGGCGCCTCATTTTCTGTAAAAGTACTATTTGCATCCTCGGTGTCCATGACAGCGCAGCATACATGACATGTAAAGTAAACCCACTCTGCAACTATGCAATTATCCTAAATTTAGATTTGCACTGTGCATGCTGTGTGCAAAAAGAGCACTAATTAAAAGACAAGACAAAAGAAAATTACTGCAAATCTACAACTGCAAATGGATATTTTTATACAAAGGTGGATCTCTGTAGTATTGTACCTAGGGGTTTAAACAATTGAGATGGGTTGCTGTAACAAAACTGTGATGTACTACCAGGACTAGCATTGCTATGCTCATCTGCAACTAATCCTGCACGAATACAAATGCCACCCTTTTTCATTAATTGTATTTATTTAATTTTATTTCCATTTATTTAATTAATTATATTTTACTTAATTTTTATCAATCTCTCTCTCTCTATATATACAGTATATATATACACAGTATATACATATATATATACATATACACACACATACATATATATACACATACATATATATATATACACATACATATATATATATACATACATATATATACACATATATATATATATATATACATACATATATATATATACACACATATATATTTATATACATACACATACACATATACATATATACACATATATATTTATATATACACATATATATTTATATACATACACATATACATACATACATACATACATATATATATATATATATGTGTGCATGTATATTAATATTATCTCTGCTATTATTTTGTCATGTGCCTTATTTTTTGAGGTCGTATGTCAGGGACTGTTCTAGTTTGTTAGAAATGTAAAAAAAAAAAAAAAAAAAAAGACATGACAAATTGACACTGTTACTCTGACCTGGTGGCGCATTCCTCTGTTATGTGGCTGCTCACTTGCAGCTTAAATATAGTCTTTGAACAAACAATACGACCTTTAGCCCAGAGGGAGCGAGAGAGGGGAGGTGGAGGTGTTCTAAATGCAAATAGGACAGAGTGGCTGCATATCTGAAACTAATTTAAACTGATTTATAGCTTTAATGGCTGAAACATGAGATACATTTGAGCCACTCGACAGTCCCAGAGGCAACCTCTTAAATGCTAAATAATCACCTTCAGATGTTTCATCATTCTCTTGTTTAGCACCGATATACCTGCTTTTATTTACGCGTGAGTGCCCACGATGGCTAAGCCACGTATCCTCACAGCACAGCCCCTTGTCTTGTCGCATGCATTGGTAAAAAGAGAGTAAAACACTTGTCTTAATCAGGGCCTGAACATCCAAGAATAGAATAGAATTTAAGTTAACTTCAACATGAGAATTCGCTCCATCGACCAACTGCTGATCACCTCCACAGTGCTGACCTTTGAGCGAAGTCCAAAATGGAAGAAGCTGTAATATTAGCTGTGTCGCAACATCTTATTTTCGAATAACCTGGTCTGCTGGATTATAAACTGCTACACAAAAGATGTGCCACAGGTGCGACTAGACACCAGTGAGCCAGGGCCTGAATGCAAGGCAGCCATTGATAACGCCATCAACTACACCTGTGTTTATCCTGCTATTACATGTAAATGTCTTTAAAAAGGCCTTTTCTTATTGACTACAATGAAAGGGCAAAATAAAAACAGCTCAGATACAATAGAGTTTAAATAAAGGAATGTTAAATTGTGATCTAAAACTTTTAAATGGCTCTCTATCAGAGAGAAAGTGGTGTGTTCAAGGACCATTAAAAACAGAGGACAATAAAAGGGGGGCACATGGAACCGGCGAAGCATCAGCACACAAAAACTCCTGGAATGCATCGAGCATGGCGGACTGATGAACAGTGCACAACCATCCCGAAAATCCAAAAATGTACTACTGTGGTTTAACAGCACATTTCAAGCGAATCCTTTTTCACTTGAAGTATGATGGGATGGAATCTGTCTCCACATGAGGCTGGTCTTTCATAGATTCCTAATAGCCCTAAACAGTCTCACATCACACGTATATCCAGCATTGACTGACCTCTCTCTCAAAAAAACCCAAAACGCTCCACACAGTATGGTCTATATGAGCTCTTTTTTTGGCCCTTGGTATAGCTTGGCATGTCTGAATGAGGCCATTGTATGTGGCAGAGAGAGGGGGGACCCTGGAAGAGGTTTGAAACAGATCTCGGTGAGGGCCGACCGACTCCCGCTGCCAGCCAGCTGCAACCTCTCGTAGCCTTCCTCCACGGAGCAGAGGAAACACTCCACTAATCAGTTTGGTGATGAAATTGTTCCCCCACTGAGGTCTGTGGATCTCTGTAAAAATCCAGTACACCCGGGTGGGAGTGTGGAAAGGACGAACGTGATTGGAGGGGAAGGGGGGGAACGTACTTGTACTGGGACTCAATAAAGACACACAGAGACAGGGATCCCTTGTTTATGATGTGAATTGGCTTAAAATACAGCAGTTCTTCCTCCATTCAAGCACACACAAATCTGATTATTGCTGTAGTACATAACATTAATAAAAACATATATACAATAGCACAATGACAACTTTTTCTCATGGCCAAAGCAATGCAATTTTTAAAGATATTTGTATAAGTTTAGTTCGGCTGGGATATGTCTGGTATTCGTACATGCATGTGTTTCTACATCCTGAAATAGATCTCAGCAGTACCTCTTGCTGTATTCAGTTGTAAATAGATGGGAACACTTGGACTTTGATACTTGTTGGCAGAAGGCTGGTGATAAACTAATGGAATCAACTGTAATATTTAAACTTCTTGACTGTATTTTGGGTGGAGGTCTTTCCTTCTCTGTTGCCTACTACTGAGACATCTGTGTTGATTTATCTCAGAAGAAGGAAATCAGATTTGTTAACCTCCTCTGACGGCCGGCGGGCGGGCCGTCAGAGTGATAACTGCATATTTGTGTTATGCACATAACTGCTCTGTAACGATGAGTATTAATGTGATATCTCATTAGAAAGCTACGGTTCTTGTAATTCGATTTATGCAAACCATTTCAAGATACAATAACAACAGCAGTTACAGTTAACGTCTCTGTCAAACAAGCACTCCAAAAATAGCCGATAAAATATCGCCGTGACTCACCGATTATGATTCATAACGTCCCCCTTGTGCATGCTAGTCCAGCAAAAACGGTCTTGCTAGGTGGCTAAGGGTCCACTCGATCGAATCCAGTAAAAGATTTAGTCCAAAACACATTAGTACGTCCATAAAGACCCACAGGGGGCTGTTGCATCATTTCAAATTAGCCAGCAGATATGATAACTCGCGATCATATTTCGGGCATAACTTCACGTTCTGTGTCAACAGAGCGGAGACTTTCATCACAAAATGGAGCCTACATTCCGCCGGTTAGATTGACACCTCATTTGACCCAATAGGAGCTTCTATAGCCCGGCCACAGTCTGGAACAGCCAACGAGAGTCCGCTTTGAAAGACAATGCCCGCCTCTCTTCTTTGGGTATAGCTCGAGCCAATCGCAACAGATCCTGTTCAAACTCAGGCTCCACATAGCCAATGAAATTACGAAGCCAGGGATATGCAGATTTATCAGATTGAATGCTGAGAAAGTTTTCTAACCTGAACTGGAAACCATGAGTCAAGTTCCTGGGACAGAGTGTGAAGACTAAAGTCTGGTTCATGAGAATTTTCAAGAATTTGTGAAAGTTGATAATGGTTAAATATGATATAGTTAACCATACATTGATATAAATAAACTATAGTTTGAACTTTGAACATGTAGTTTATTGTAGTATATGCATTTTGATGCGGTGCCGCCAGCCAGTCTCCAAATGCAGTTCACTCTTAGTAAACCATGTGTTTCTGTCGTATTGTTATCAAATTTTAACTTATACTAGGTGTCATGACTGTTAGCTGTCGAATGAGAGTCTTTTCAAGCCTGTAAGTCCCAGCCATAGATAGGTGCTGTCATCTGTTGGCCAAAACAAATCTAGGTGGAAGTAAAATTCTTCTCTTTCACTGTGCTGAAAACGCCATAGCTCAATGCTCATGGTGATTCTGACTGATTGTGAAGGAACTTCAGAGTGTTGCCGTTCAATAGAGACTAAAACCATACATGTACTCCCAATGAATGGTTCAATAAGAGCTGTCAGTTTACTTTGGGTACGCGGTTGATAGGCGTTTTAGGCAAATTATGCAGGAATGAGAAGAGGTAGTTGTTCTCGTGAATATAGAATAAAGTGTGCTCACCCGGCTTTAGGCTGCTGTTAAAGTAGAGGAGGACCATAATGAAACACCCCAGACTCAAGGCGAAACCCACCCGGGTGACTTTGGGTTTCGTCATTCTGACTCTTGGGGGACGACCGAGGAGCCGAGCCGGATCCTGCCAGCTGGGTTCATGCGAAAAACAAGCAGGTTTTTGGGGGGGGGCTTAATCACTGATAAGAGCGTCGATCCGGCTCGCTGACCATTCCCGCTCCTTAGCTCGCTGTACATCCTCGGTTGTCCAGCCTGGCGGAGGGAAGACAACACGCGAGCCTCGCTGCAGGGCTTCACCGGTCTGCCGTGTTTTTATTATTTTGTATCTTTTAGTTACTGTAACGTGAATGTGCGCCGGCTCGGAGAAACAGGAACAGACTGCATATTGCTGTCAGTGCAGTCTGAGCAGAGGCACCCCTTTCACCCCGAACACTACTTGCAGTGCTGCGATGAGTCACTATTTAAAAAGAGACAGTTCCGGTTGGACCTTTCAAGGTAAAACTCCCATGGGTTTTTTATATATAGTGTATGTATGTATGTATGTATGTATGTATGTATGTATGTATGTATGTATATGTATGTGTATGTGTATATGTGTATGTATAGCTATGGCAGGGGGAACATGTCTACTAAGTCAGTATTTTTATTTTGCAAGTGCTCACAAATTCCTGAAGATATTTAGCCTTTGTTAATGTAGAAATAAAGACCGTGGTCTAGAGGTAAATATTAAAGAAAATTCAACTGAACAGGTAAATAAATGAAAACCCATTTCCGCCTCTGTGATGAAAAAAATTAGGAAACTGTCATTATCCTGTCTGTCATTATAATGAGAAACTTTCTCAAGTATCATAATTATAAAATAGTAAGTCATAATTATGAGATAGTATGTCATATTTATGAGATACTAAGTCATAATTATGAGATAGTTTCTCATTATGACTTACAGGATCTTTATTTTTTTCCTCACAGTGGCAGAAATGGGCTTCCATATAATTAAATGAATACAAAAAAAGAAGGTCCTGAGAATGTGTTGGGCGATGTCACGCTTTTATTTTGAAAGCCGAAATCGAAGGATATCCGTTGCTATGCCGTTCGTCTCTGGTTGTCTTTCCACAGCTTCAGTGTTGCAAGCAGTGTGTTAGTCCAGCACGAGACACTCTCTGATGGATGGGTCTGTAGTGACGTCATCTGCTGTGGATTTCTCCCCTCATCTTCTCCACGTCACTTTTAAAGCTCCGTCTCAGACTCTGGATTGGATGGATTCTCCAGCAGACTGTGATAGCACAGGGGCCATCCCACCACACTCCAACACAAACAAACGGTCAAAGACAAGGGTCATGTCACTGTGCCCCTGTTATAAAGCACAGCAGGGCTATATGCTGACAGAAATACTAAGAATTGCAATATTCCTGCAGTATTTTTATGTTTAGGTTGTTATATTCAGACGTTTCAGTGATTTCCCAGACAAATAAAGTCATAAATCTGTTTACACTCCTACACTACTTCTGGTGCATTTTAAAGCAACACTTTTTGCCAAGTTATCTGTGTAATATTTCTCTTGTCTTGGGCTGAATATGAAGCCACAGTGACCTGAACAAGTCAAGAAATTCTAGTCTGATGGACCCACATTTCAACCCAAACCCCTAATCTCTTGATCCACTTTGGAACTCACGTGGTGTCTCGAGGATCAATAAATAAGAGACTAGAATACAGAGTGACTCATAGAATAAAGGAATGTATTTCCCCTCCACAGGGGAGAGAGCACATGACCGCGGCCTTCAGAGATCATCTTTAATCCGACGTGTGATGCGACGGCTCCCATCCAGGGTGCTGAACCGGACGGCATCTTGCTGGGCCAAGCGTTGCAGGGGCAGTAAGTCATTTTTAGTCTATTGGCGCAGGGAGGACTTCCTGCAGCGCTGCTTTTGACCTCTGACCTTTTTTTTTCTTCTTCCACATTCCTCATGTCCATCTTCCCAGGCATCGTGGATCAGATCCCTGAAGTGAAGTGAGTCAGGATGGGTTAGGAGCCACGTGACTGATCCATCCACTAGGCCCGATGGCGAGGCGGTGTGAAGACCTGTCAGGGTTTACTGTGGAGTGGGATGATGGGTAATTGTCCCTGGGGTTGTTAAGGCTGGTCAGGAGTCAGCACACGCATTCTCTCAGTGGCTGACCAATCGGACAAGAGGTGAAAAACTGCTGAGACGTGCTGTTTGGCATGGTGATTGATTATTAATTTTATCTGTCTTTATCTGAAACAGAGTCATGTGGTCTGGTTTCTTCATTTCCTGTAAGAGTCAGGATAAAAGTGGATGCTGGAGGCTTTTAAATCACAGGACAAGACAATTACAGGACAAATTAAAGCTTTGTAAAGCAGGGTGGCCCACTGCTCAATTCTGGGATCCAATAAGCCTTTAAACAAATAATTATGGTATGTCTGAGATAAATGGATTTTTGAATAACTACTTTTATATTGTAATGTGTGTTGTAGTTAAAACGGCCAGCAGGTGTCGCCATCTCACCACTAGGGGGGTTGTCCGCGCATGGCATTCACGCTTCCTTGTAAAGTTTCTCAGAAGAAGAACAGCAAGAAAAGAGTGTAACGTAGAGAACAGGCACCCTCAATAAAACATTTGTTTAAACTATATTCAAGGTGTCTGCTGCCGTTCTTTGGTGCGCCCGTCATCATACATTGACGGGAGGGCAACATAAGCATTATTGATTAAATGAATAGTTAACATGTTCGTGAGACAATTCCCTTATGTCATATACATTTCAAGGTAAAACTCCTTTAGGTTT